TACTTTTTTTTTAAATAAACGCTGTGGAAAGCTGAGGGACACCATTATGCATCAGGATTCCCCACTAAGGCACTTACTTTGTTTTTTCTAGAGATGCAATACTTTGACTTAATGGACGCTATATTAGTGAATATAGAGACGTTTTGCAACGGAATTTCCCTGCCACAACTACTCGATTCAAACGGCTGATCTTTCCAAAACTCTCTTTCAACGCGGCCCCTTTGTAATGGCCTGCTCCCACGCGTTATACGAGAAGTTTCAATGGGTCATTTTAAAAGCCAGAGATATTTCACCCGTGCGCGTTTGCGAAAGATTCAGGGCTCATTATGGGTGTTGAATCCACATTTTGCTTCTTTGAAAGAACAAAAAGAACCTTGCCCTATTATTATCGCTGTTCTGCTGGATCGAATCTCGTTTCGCTCAATACAACCGTATCAATGGCGCCAAAGTGATACATGAAAGCATTGTCATGTCGCCGCCACCAAAACCCGAGCAATCGAACCAGAACGTAAATAAGAGGAAACGCAAGAACCCTGTACACGTTATGTTGCGACATATAAAGAATTGTTCACCGTTATAATGTAGGCTGTCAGAATGTGTATAGATTAGGTCATTATGAGACCTAATAAATCAACTTCGCCTGCAATTGTTTGCTCAGTCATACTCCGTAACCGTCACTTCTTAAACATAGTAAATATGAAATCTATGAAACAAAACCACCTCATTATTCTTGGCCCGCTGTGTATTTTTTTTTTTTTTTTGGCGATGAATATTCAAGAGCGCCCGGGCAATGTTACAGGAAGAGAACATAAAAAAAACATCAGTTGAGGACACTTGAACAAGCACATTCCTTCCTGACGGTGTACTTAAAAAGAAAACGGAATATCTCATGCTGATTAGCTATTTATATGTAAACTAGTCATATCACTAGTACGAGGTTGACCGTGTACAGCATAAACTCAAACTAGAAATTTATTTTGAAAGTAACAAACTTGCAAAATATCACACAAGATGAAATGCACGTGGGCCCGGATTCGTGGATGATGGTTACTATATACCCTCTGTGTTGGTGGGTACCTCGCGCCACCTATTTTACATCGACATTCTAATACGCGAGTCCAGGCGGATCGTGCCTTTTGTGCTACTCGTGTTGTGTTAAGCACCGCCTGAAGAAGTGCGCGGCGGGAAATTAAGAAAGAGAGAGATACAAAAAGTAAACCATCGTGGGTTGCACCCTAAAAAAAGGGTATCACCTTACACCCTTTTGTTCCATATGATGCACCCCCCCAAAACTTCAGTTCGACGTAGAGCGCCCTACAGTCGAGCAGACGGCCCCAAATTTTACGAGGGGCTTGATAACGGTGCCACATAACTTATTAAATAGCTAAAGTACGTATCAAAGACCACAGAAAGAAAACACTGAGTTTTTACACTATGGCCGAGAAAACCTGATTATTTTTTTGTAGTAAGTAACACGTACATTAGCTATTTTAATAAGTTGTAAAACACGGCTATCAAGCCTGTGGTGAAAGTTAGTACCGTCAGATCGACGTCAGTGCGCAGCACGTCGAACTGAAGTTTTGGGGTGTATTACATGGGGCAAAGGGTGTAACAATACAACCTTTTGTTTAGAGTATGGGAGTTTCACCAATTCAAAAGTTTAGACAAAGTCTCAACAGAATATGTTTACCCCTCCAAGGTACAGCTACACAATTACTTCAGACGGAAGTCAGACAATCTGCGCCTCAATCGTGTTGTTAATGAAGTAAGTAACATAGAGAGCGAAATTAAATTATCACCGTGAGAATTGTAAGTGGCTATTTCTAACATCCGTTCACAGCTTAACCTGTAGTGCCTTTGAATAGACGGCACATACTAAAACCAGAGACAGGGGGCAAAGAAAGGAAGACAAAAACTATTTGTCCATCTGTTGTCTCGGTCGCGGGTTCTACTATGTCAATTAACAACCAGCTCGCCTGCTTAATTACGTTGTGGTAAAAGAAGTAACTTTAGCTAAACATGCTCGTTTTTTAAGTTTTTTCCTATTGCTACATCTCGTTCAGTACCTGTCGGAAGATTCGCATGAATGATTACCACAAACTTACCCAGAATAGTAAAAACCACTAATTGAATTAATTCAACATGTCATAAAGGTACTTTAAAAACAAACAAAAACCCCAATGTGCGCAAAAAAATAAAATAAAAAAGGAGGGCCTTTAATAACTTTTGAAGTGTTCTTACGATGTTCAGAAATTAATTCTAGACTAACATGTGTGTTTTGGAGTGGGACCCTCGATTTAATGATACTAAATACAGCAGTTCTCGTACAATTTCACATTTACATTGATATTAATGTATATATCTCAACCATCTGTATAAAACAATTCAACCATAACTGACCTCTGTAGCAACAGCGATTCGGTATTTGCTATACTAGACACCGCCTGGATAAGCATTAAGTATTCACTGGAAAAACTTCAAACAAGTTTACGATCAGAATTTTTCGAGCATTGCAAACAAATGTGCATGAAATGTCACACTATTTGACATCACCTTGGTTTCGGCGATTACTAATTGATTCACAACTGCTAATTAATGCATCGTAGAACATTAACCTCTTGAAATATGCTGTACATGAGATAATATCCCCGATGTGATATCTTTATCAATAATATTCTCCAGTCGGTTATGAACAGTACACGTCAAGGAAATGGGATGGTAGTGAGATATGTTCTGAAGGTCACTTCATTTATGATTTTTGTGCGGGTCGGATACTTCCAAGCTTCAAATGAGCAGGTAGTTTCCAAGAGTTTATAGAAGTAACACATTTTCCTAACTCCTTTTAAGTGGTGTTTAATAAAACTTCTGGAAAGCCACTGCTTTTGATCACACTATGTATTTACTATTTAGCCAGTAAAAAAAATGCCTCGACGACAGGAATATTGTCATCACCGGGTATCTGAGCGAAGACAAGTTGAGTAAATTATTGTTTTAACTTGTATAAACATACCTAAATTGATAGGCGGGGCGTTATTAATTTTTAATTATTACTCGATTCCAGATTTATTAACAAAAATATATTTAAGCTGCAAAATATTTTAAGTGCTCTTTTTATAACTAACAAAAGACAAGCGTTATGACTTAGAGGATTGAACCTCAGTTTTAATTTGCGTACACTTCAGTAAATTTTTCACTACAAGAGGGACAGCAATTTCAGGTGGATGGATGGTCGAATGGCTTCCAAAATTTCTGAAGTAGGTTTATATTCTTCTTCGTATGTGTCAAGTCCCTAGGAAAACATAACCGTAAGCTCCATTTGTTTAATTTTTTTTAATTGACGTAAGACACATTTGTTGAGAAGCACCGAGGAAGTACAGAAATGAAGGTTTTTCATAGTTGGTTAACACAAACTTGCAGGGATACATAGTCTCAGCGCTCAGAAAGGTATTCCAAAATTATAGAGTTATGGTCGGCATTATTAAAGCCTAACACTCTACTTCGCTTCGTTAATGCTTCCCTTAGTTTTGTAAGTTGTGGGCAATATTTTTTTTTTTCATATTTGAGCTCTATGAATCCCTGTTTTTGCAACATCATAAACTACTGTCAGTTCAAAACACGCGTTAAGTAAACATTAGAACTATAATGCCAAAGCACAACAAAATCAGTTTCTTGCGTAGTTACATAAAGCGAACGCATGCAACAGCTAGGAAAGAGTTAAAACGATATCACCTGTATCCCACACTCCACCCCCTTACGAATAAAGACAACAAGATGAAAGGCTGCCATAATCAATCGCGAGCACTACGTCCAGTGTCCCTCTTTCTGAATAGTCCGCAAGCTAACCCCTAACGCGAGCAGTTGTTAAATTTTACAAGTTATTCAGTTGATTCTGGGGCAAGATAGAATTCAAGTAACCATACAGGAGTCCTTTAGTGAAAATAGAAAAACTAGGCCTGCTCAGGACTAGGGACACCTTTACGTATACTGATGCGGCATTCTCATCCAAATATTATGCACTCTAATAATGACTGCGCATTAGTTTGACGCAAGCACTCGCGGAGCCAATCACAATGTTATACGGAGGAAAACCGGTTAATACCGGGTCCAAAGAAAAAAAGAAGTGTCCGCCTCAAGAGGGAGTTTGCATGATGACACTGGCCACGACGCGAGGTTATCAGACTTGAGGTTCTGCGCCCCATCGCAAGCTTGAGGTATTTCATTTTATGCAAAATATTTTTGTCCCACTCTCGTCATTAGCTGAACATCTTTCAATGGCGGCCATGAATGGCTCTGAAAATGCTCTCCGAGAAGTACACACACGATCCTTTTCTGTAAAGTTGACAAAACGCATAAACAAGTAAGCTAAGAAATAAACTTAACGAAAGCGTGTACCAATTGCAATCACCGTGCACGCTACTACCATTCGTACATCACGCGGCCGTAGCAGTTTAATGCAGTCTAGAATGATGCAGCGAAACGAGGCCACGAAGAGAAACTCGAGAGCAAACCCGGCGAAACGTGTAGCTGTACCGCGTTGTAGCTCCTTACACTGCACCTGCAATCTGGCACGTCCGTGATATAAGTTGGTAACAACACGATGGATACTAGTCACACACATGGTGAGAAGAGCGGGTGAGTCCCTTGGGTTGTGGCGCGGTGGCAGTAGAGAGTTTTAGTCGATTGTTCGGGATGACTCCGATAACGATAGTGCCCCGCCGCCTTCGTTCATGCGTCGTACCGCTATCGGGTATTGTTGTCGGGGGTACTGGAGGAATCGCAGCGACCTACTAACACTCTCTATTAAGATACTACAACACGGGTACCACGCGTATCGGCTGCTGCTTGCCGACACGAGAACATCTCCGAGACGAGCACGAAGACTTTCACGAAGTTAATAGTGCGACACAAACGTGTCTAAGTTGGACGCGTCTTCGTACTTATGACACTTCTGTATTGCCGTTAAAATAAAAAAAAAAATAGAGAAAAAACCGAAGACTTACCGATGCGTGTGACGGTAGATTTTCTGTAGAGGTTAATCCGGGCTTCCCGAAGGGGACGCTGAACACAACCGCCACGGACGGTCGCGTCAACCGCTTTTTGCACCGTCACTCAAAAAACCACGGGGATGAAGCCGATGTCGAAGAGTGCACTCCGTTCGAGAGCGGGAAGCGGCCCGGTGACGACGGCCGAAAGCCGGCAAGCCCGGCACGTCAGAACGGGAGTCTGTGGGAGGCTCGCGTGAGACATCCGAACGCCGCGCCGTCTCGAGCGCCCACTAAAGCCTGCTTCCATTGAGGCAGGCGGAGAGCGCATGCGCGAGGAGGAAGAAGAAGAGGAGGGGGAGAAGAGAGCGCGGTGGAGAGCAGGAAAGAAGGGGGACCCCGGCGGGGGGAGGGAGTACCGCGGCGCCCTCTTTTCGAAAGTGGGCTTTTGTGCTTCGGAGAGCGTTGATCTTGGAAGTAAGGGGACGGGATGACTCGATTTGTGATTTTCCTTACCTGCCTTAGACGCGGTGTTGTGCCCGTTGCCGAAATAAAGTAACGAAATAGCGTCACTCGTTAGTTCGGTAAAAATTAACGCGTTAATGAGCTACGTTACTTTTTTACAAACGTAACGATATACCGTTGCCGTTACTTTTCAAAACTAACGAACGTTACCTTTACGTTACTTTTACGTTACTTTTGTGTTCGGGTACATATGTTTGGCAGAGATGTATGATAAGCCTCCTTAACAAGCTTCCATAAAGAGAGACATTTACCGAGTTGTTTCATAATGTTTCATATTCGCTCCATAACAAGCGTTTTGCATATTTACGTGCCATTGACCTTAACGCTGCGGTACAACATAAGGTGAAGCGGAGTATAGATCCGCAATTGAGCTTAGTTACCTAAATTTAGTTCCCCTAACGTCTCCAGTGTTTTACACAAGATTGCTATTCTAAACGTTAGATCTGGTGTTGGGACCTTTTCCCAAATACCTAATGCATTTCATCAGTTTTGGTCAAGAGTAACGAGTAACGTAATTTAATAGTCGATACCGTAAAAAAGTAACGGAAATACTTTACTCGTTAGTCATACAGAATACTAACGAGTACATTACTGCGTTAGCGACAAATGTAACGCGTTACCAGTAACGTCGTTACTAGTAACGCGTTACCTCCAACACTGCTTAGACATGAAGACTCCTGCCAACTTACAGATTCTTTTGTTTTATTTTATATATGTCGCGTGGCGGGCGGCTTACCTTATATGTTACTTTAGGTGTCACCTTAATGGTTACTTTTCTGGTTGCCTTTCTGTTTAGCCTACTGGTAACCCTGGTTACTGACTAACTTACAATCACAATCCCACTGCTCATATATCACGCAAAAGACTAGGTGCTCCCTGCAGGCATGATGAGTGAATTACCTACAGGCTTTACGGCATGTTCAGAGCATGTTACTTCTTACATATGTGTGCCTAGAACATGTCAAAATACATTTGTTTCGTATGACCACCGTGATAGGACTGCCATGCCAGGAAGAAACACGCCTCAGAACCGGTCTGAACTGATCACTATATTTTAGGCGACCTATTGGTGTGTGATCGAGGCTTGCTGATTATGCTAGTCACCGATTACGTCTTTGGTTACAGTGGTTAACTGTTACCTTACAGGTTGCCTTACTGGCAACCAGCGTAGCGGTGGTTCGTTAGCTTACTGGATGCATTGGGCACTGGTTGCCTTACTGGTTGCACTGGTTACCTGTTCTGCCGCTCGTTACTGGGTACCCTTAGTTAAAGCAGTTTTAAATAAAGGGCCCACTGCAATTACGCAAGCCAAAACGAACGAGCCTCAGCAAAGGTGATGATTTTTTTTCTTCTAGAGAATACTACATGTTTCAGAAAAAATAAAAAAAAAATTAACCACAAAAAAAAAAAGAAGTTTGTGGTAAGTAAAATATTTAGCTCATAAAACGCTTTGAAATGCAAAGAATACGATTGTGTTTAATTTATAATAACATTTAAGCCTCAAGAGACACGGGCCGGTTTTCTAGTCGAAGAGTCTGAGCTAAGACTGCCAGAGAGAACCTACAAACGTGGGGCTTGCGAGCGCTTGACTCTCGAAGTTCCCATGCCACGTGCACTCCGCTCGGTGGTCTAGCTATGGCAGTGCTTGCTTTCACACTTTATTACCTAAGACTAATTTTCTAGCACGCTGTCTATAGCCTTTACTTCGTCATGTATTTGATAAGATCAAAGAAAAACAATACTCATTCATGTCTCGTTAGCACGGGCGCGGTCAATGTGGAAACCCCGCTATCGACAACATTTTCGGGGAGAAACTGGAAAATGGCAGGCAATTTTTGTCTCGCTATTATGAACAACTCACATTAGACGGTTCTTTTCTCAGGGGGAACGGAGGGGTCATATTAACGGGACACCGGTCTACCTCACTTAAGTTAGGTGGCGTCTGTTCTTTCTACGATGGTTTTATTGCTATTTCAGCTTGCGCGTGTTATACACCAAGTCTTTCTCTTCTCTTACCGAGTTAAATTTAGAATGTATATATATATATACATATATTGGTTTTTTGCAGTCACGCACGCTCTCATTCTATACTTAAGTCGACACGCGCGAAGGTAAATTACTTTTTTTATTTAAGATAGCAGAATGAAAATTGTAGTGTTTATATTGCTCTATCTCATTTTTATAAATGTGTTGTGGTTCTTAATTTTACTTGTTTTTTCTTATAATTTGGATGCTATGCACCAGAAAAAGGAAAAATAATCATGCTCTGGCGGACACGCATTGCAACACACTTAATAAGTGTGTTGCAAGGAACAAAAAGTTAAGTAGTTAATCCTGGTAAAGCAAGTTAATCAGCCCATTTTAACCCACTAAGTGCAATGAACAAAAAAAAAAAAAAAAAGACGTGCGAGACATGTTTTATTTTAAAATAATTGATAATCGCAAAAAAAAAAAAAACTATATTCAAAGACCTAATCAATTTTTCGTAAATCTGTTCATAAATACAAAAATAAATATCCTAACTAATCCTAGATCGTTGCATTATACATCATCTGAAGCATATGCATGCCAATATTTTTTTTTGTGATAGGGCAATATTAAGAGCTGAAATTATTTTGCGCAGACTCTGAAAATTCCCCCCAAATTACACAAAAAAAAAAACATATTGAAATATTATCATAGGTGGGAAGTGACAGAAAAATACCCTTTTGTTAATAATTTTCGGTAAGTAATTGAAGCTACAGAAAGCTGCGACGGAAAGGACAGGGCAACGACTACGTTTCAACATAAATGCGACGATGGGCGATGCGGTAATTTTGAGAACCGCGCATACAAAGCAGCTCAAATTTATGCCGCTCTAAGTTCCAAGATGTCTTCCTGTGGTTAGTTGACTGATTTGGCGACCATAGTTGGTCGTTGTTATTTTTTACATAAAATACGAATATCCAAATATAACAAAACACCATAAACTTAAAATCGTCTTTGCGAAAAATTGTCATTTTTCGATCCGCATCACCCCTTAATCGTATTCAAAAGCTTGCCCACACCACCTTAGGTAGGCAAAGGCTCAAGGATAGTATAGTATGAACAGGTTACCCGTGCATTACCATGGCTTACACAGGGCGACACCTTCTAGCGCGAACAGCCGATGGTCCTTTTTTTTTTTCAGCTTTTTTTCTCTAAACCTGGTGAATATCGCTCACCAGAGTCACCAATTTTAGCAGTAATATTTGGTGCTTACCAGTATCCTTCAGGAGGAAAATGAGAAAAAGCGCCAATATCGTCTTGGAGCTAACAGTGTCTCACAATATACCTATCGTTTCTAACAAAATGCATATCGATTGCTCAGCCAGTGCAATCGTAGAAAAAGGTTCGAATAAAGAAAAAGCAATAAAAGCAAACAATCAAATCAAGTACGAGCCAATCGATATTTCAAAACCCCTCGTTGCCACCCAAATGCGGAACCCCAAATCTCTTTTTCTAATGTCATACGACCTGGCAAACACCGTCTAGCAGGTTTCCAATTCGGTAGGTTTCAGCCCAGTTGACTAAATCAATCAACTTAAAAAAAAGAAAAAAAAAAAAGACAACAACGTTAGGGGAGTTATTTCTGCAAGACCGCTAACGAACAAAGGACAGTGGGTTGCGACACTCGATCTACAGTCCGACACGGGTCGTTAATTGAGGCACCGATCACGCCCGAGAACGAAGCTTACAGGACCTGGGCTATTTCACCGCACGAAGCTCCCGAATTGCAACACCGTTAACTTTAAAAGCATCGCTCTATACGGTAGGACTCGCTTGGCAAATAGTAAGGGTTAATTCGAAAGACCTGTCGGGTTACGGAGCCACATTATACCCAGGTTACACAACCATCGGGTCGTAGACCCTAGGTATGGCGCGAGGAACGCGTTCTACGGCTGGTGTGTTTAGCGTCCGATGCGGCCCGTGCATCCAAAGCGGTCACGAAGTGTTAACAAATGACGTCATGAAAGCCGAAGTGTCGCGCTGTCGGATGTCGCGATCCTTTCGGTTCGTCGCGAAAATCTTAGCGAGAAACACGAGCGACCACTAGTGTCGCTGTCGTCGCAGCGTCCCAACATTTGGTTGCCGAAGCTTCCGTGGACTGACAAGCTGAAGAGCGACCTGCAGGAGGACAGGCGTCTGCCACAGCCAGCACCACTGGAGTGACACCGCCAGGATCGCGGCCAGCGACAGCATAGCACTTTTTTGACGTTATCAGGAGGAAATGAAAAAAAACAATTTTTTTGGGGGGGCGGGGGGGGGGGGGGCGGTAAATAAACCATTCGCAAACGCGTTAATTATACTGTTGGCGACGAGATGTTTCGGTTCCTCCCCATTATGGTTCGTTCGTTTGTGTGACGTCACGGCCAGGATCAGCAATTCGCAGTGACGATTGCGACGGTGGGTGTAAAAAGAAAGGTGAAGGCTTTTAGTCATCGCGTTCTTAAACCAGCACCGTCAAAGTACAAAAAAGAAGAAAAAAAAACTAAAATAAAATTGAATAAAATTGAAGGTATGTCGCGGTAATAAACAGGTGCATAAGTAGGTCTGCATAAGCCTAAGGGAGGCTCGTGTGGCAGGGCCTGACAGCACAGACCATTCCTCGAATAACAATTCACAGCAAGGAGCGAGTGTTCGCAATAGTGCCTAGCCTATCTGGTTTTATCATTGTATGTGTTTTTTTAGTTGTTTTTGTTGTTTTATTGTCGGAATAGCCTGCTATGTTCCGTTTCACCTTATCTTGTATATTAACGAAGGCAAGAAGCGCGAGCTTATAGCATC